AGCTTACACTGAAGGATGCACAAAAGAATGTTCATTAGATTATGAAAAAAACAAATGGGAAAATTTGCTACTACAGCAGAATCCGTACGATCGATGGCAGAAAGTCACTAATCCAAAATTATTTGAGCAATTTAAAAAAGAAACAGATGGAATGGACCCTAAATGGATAGATGAAAAATGGAATAATGAATGGAATAATATTTCAGCGAACAAAGTTAATGAACTATCTTCAATATTTGATCGAAGTGATATTTCTGAAGAAGAAAAAGGAAAATTAATTTTTAGTATTATGAAAGAACTCTCCAGTCTATATTTGAAATTTATAGACGAATGTAAGAAAGAGATGAGAGACAATAAATCAGAATCCGAATCTAAGATAGAGATGAGAGAAAATAAAACAGAATCCGAATGTATGAGAGAGATGAGAGACAATAAAACGGAAATCAAATCTATGAAAGATATGATAGACAATAAAACAGAATCCGAATCTATGAAAAAGATGATAGACAATAAAACAGAATCCGAATCTAAATCTGAGAAAGAGATGAGAGAACATAAAGCAGAATCCAAATATAAGAATTATTATGGAAAAAATAAAAAAAAAAAAAAGAAATCAAATATTTTGAAATTTCTTTTTTGTAGGTTTGATAACCATTAAGAGAATAAAAATTAATGTTTTAACAGAGAAAATAGGATTACGCATGCACAGGATCTAGTAAAAAAAAAAAAAATTAATATATTGTCTAAATTTTTTTTATAGAGATGAATTTTATTTTTTAAAAAAAAAAAAAATTAAAAGATAAAAATTTTTTTAAAAAAAAAAAAAAAATTTCATGAGAATATTTTTTAATTTTTGAGAATAATTTTTTCGTTAATTAATATTAATATAATTAAAATTTTTTTTCTATTATTTAAGTATTTTTATTATTTTTAAAAGCAGTGAACTTAAATTACTGAAAATTACTTATAAAAAACAATAAATATTTTGTACTTAAAAATTAATAATTAATGAGAATATATGTTTTTAATAAAAATACATATTTTTTATCAATGTAAATTCACAATGAACTGCATTATTGTAGTTTACTTATTTATATAATTAAAATTATATTTAAAATCCATTTAATTACTAGAGAAAACTTTATATTCTCTTTAATAATTTCTTCTTCATTACTCTAGCAAATTCATTGAATGATAATTTAATAAATTAAAAATATATATTATGGAAAGTAAATAAATCAGGTAGTAAATGTAAAGGATAAAATAGAAAAAAAAAATTTGGATGCAGAATTATTACCAGCTGATTTATTAAACGAATGTTCGGTGACTTTGCTAGAGTACTGAACGAACAAATTAATATATAGTATATAGAGTTTCCTCTACGATTCTGATGTATTTATATATACTTTTATATGCTTTGAACGAGCGATTCTTAATTATGCAATCTACTTCATTCAGCATTCTTTAATTTCACTAGGCATTTATTTACTTTAATAGAAATACTTATTTTTATTAAAAATTTAAATCCTCATTGAACATTAATTATTAAATAAATGTAATTTATTTATTTCTCTGTTATGAGTTATGTTCAGCAATTTAAATATATTGCTGTTGAATTAACAAACATAATCAATTATTGACAAATATCAAAAATTATATAAATATTAATTACATAAAAACCTTATTGTTATTTTGTATATAATTTTCTTTTACAAAATTCATCATAAAAATATTTCATTTAATTCTTCTATTCCGCAAAAAAAAAAAATTTTTTTTTTTTTTATTTATTTCTTAGTAACAAATATTTTAAAAATTTGATTTTTTTTTTAATCAATTTTTTTTCTGACTATTTTTACATTTTTTTTATCAAATTTTTTTTTCCTGACAGTCTTTGTACTTTCTTTTTAAAAATTACAAATAACAAAAAATCATCAACTTTTTTTATTTTTGTGTGTGTATGCATGTCTAACTTTGTATACTTCATTTAACTAGTCCTTTTATTTTCCAAAAAGGTTAATGAAGCCTTTTATTAACCAGGAAATGAACAATAAGGTTTATATTGAATATTCCCACTATAGCATTTCATTTGATTCCTTTTGTATTCCGATAATTAGTATGAAATAATATCTCCAACCTTTATATTTTTATTCTCAATTATAGGTTCTCTTTTGATTTAACATTTTCACGTATGTTATTCCATCGATCGTTTAAGTATATAATCCTTATTTCAGAAGTTGTTTCTGGTACTTATTTTGCAAATCCTGGACAGATACAATCTATTCCAAACATAGCAAAATAGGGTGTTTCTCCCATCGCTCCATGTGGTGTATTATTATATATTAGTACTACATTTTGTACTATTTCTTCAAAAGGTGGATATTTTTCTTCATATAAAGTCTTAATGATATAATCTAAGCCTTTATGAGAGCTTTCATTTATACCGTTTCCTCGTGGATAATATGCCCTGGTATGATATAATTTAATCTGTAATTCTCTTGTAATATAGTTATTAAATTCTTGACTAGTATAAATTGAACCGCGATCTGTTAAAATGCTTCTAGGGCATCCAAATATAGGTATCCATTTTTTTTTTTATAATGTTACTTGCGTCCCTAGCATTAGGTGTTTTATTAGTTATATTAGTTACCATAAAACGTGAATGATAATCTATTCCTACTTGTATATGGTATTCTGTACTTTTCTATGTTTTAGGTCCTATAATATCTAATGAAACAATATCATATACATTCTGTTTTGATAAAGGTTGATTATTGTTGGGTTTAAATTTCCTATTACGCATTACATGACAAATTAAAAAATTTGTGACGTATTCTTCCATATTTTTACTAACATTTGGTCGCCAATAATGTTTTTGTATTTTCTTTAGTGTTTTATTTACTCTACAATGTTTTGCGAATTTACTACTATGAAACCAATAGATTAAATGATTTCTATATTTTTCTGATATTGGTTAATAAAAGGCTTCATTAACCTTTTTGGAAAATAAAAGGACTAGTTAAATGAAGTATACGAAGTTGGTCATGCATACACACACACAAAAACAAAAAAAAAATTGATGATTTTTTTTGTTTGTACTTTTTAAAAAAAAAGTACAAAGACTGTCAGGAAAAAGAAATTTGATAAAAAAAAATGTAAAAATAGTCAGGAAAAAAATTGATTAAAAAAACAATTTTTTAAAATATTTATCACTAATAAATAAATAAAAAAAAAAAGGATTTTTTTTTTTTTAGAGAGAGGAATAAAATGAGAAATATTTTTATGAAGAATTTTGTAAAAGAAAATTTTATACATATAACAATAAAATTTGCATGTAAAAAAATATTTATATAATTTTTGTATTTGTTAATAATTGTTTATGTTTGTTAATTCAACGGCAATATATATTAATTGCTGAATATAACTCATAACAAAGAAATAAGTAATATATATTTTATTAATAGTCAATGTTCAATGAGGATTTAAATTTTTAATAAAAATAAGTATTCTTATTAAAGTAAATAAATGACTATTGAAATTAAAGAATGCTGAATGAAGTAGATTACATAATTAAGGATCACTCATTCAAAACATTAAAAAATATATATAAATACATCAAAACCGTAGAGGCTACTCTACATGCTCCTTATTAATTTGTTTTTTCAGTACTCTAATAAATTCATCAAACACCCAGTTAATAAATCAATTAATGACTTTACTTATTACTTTTAATTTTGACATTTCGTCTATTTTTCTATATAATACTGATAACATTTCTTCACTCAATGATTGGTTAATAGAAGGCTTTATTAACCTTTCTGGAAAATAAAAGTACTAGTTAAATGAAGAATATGAAGTTGGTCATGCACACAAAAAAAAGAAAAAAAAAAATGATCAATTTTTTTTGTATGTAATGTTTTTTAAAAAAAAATACAAAGATAGTTAGGAAAAAAAAAAATTCATAAAAAAAAAAAAAAAAATCAAATGGAAAAAGATTTGTTACCAATAAATTAAAATAAAAAAAAAATAAAAAAAAAAAAAAAAAAGATGTTTTTTTTTTGGAATGAAATATGATTTGAATGAATTTTGTAAGAGAAAATTTTATAACAATAACAATAAAATTTTCATGTAATTAATATTTATATATTTTTTTGTATTGTCAATAGTTGTTTATGTTCGCTAATTGATTTATTAACTGGGTGTTCGGAGACTTTGCTAGAGTACTGAACAAAACAATTAATAAAGAGCATGTAGAGATGACTCTACGATTTTCTTATACTTATGTATATTCTTATATGCTTTGAACGAATGATCTTTAATCATAAACTACTTCGTTCAGCATTCTTTTGCTTCAATAAGTATTTATTTACTTTAATAAATAAATCCTTATTTTATTAAAAATTTAAACACTTATTTAACATTAACTATTAATTGATTATAATTATTAGTTTATTCATTACGAGTTACAATCAGCAATCATTTTATATTGCTATCGAATTAACAAAACACAAATACTTATTAAAAAATGCAAATAAATTATATGCATATTAATTACATGAAAATTTTATCTTCATATGTATAAAATTTTCTCCTATCAATTCAAAATATGAATATTATGCAAATTAAACACTTCACAAAAATATTGTTATCTTCCTAAAAAAAAATCTCTCTCTCTGATTTTTTTTTCTCTCTCTTAAAAAAAAATAAAATTAAATTTTTTTTTTTTTTATTTTTTTTTTTTTTATCTTTATCTTTTTCGAAAGAAACATTTCTCAAAAAAAAAATCCAATAATTTTTTTTTTTTTTTTTTTTTTTTTTTTTTAGTTAGCACAACTAACTATGTATTCTCCACATAGCTAGTCCTTTTATAGCCAAAAAGGTTAATGAAGCTTTTTATTAACCAATTGTACACTATTTCCGCTCAATATCACAAAGTTTACTTGACGTATAGTGAACATATTTAGCTTTACCTATATTGATTATATCGGCTAATACATTTCTCTAAAAATAATACTATTTACCATTTTTGTATAATATTTAGACGAATAAATAGAATAAAAAAATTCTATTTTGTGCATGCTATTTCGCAAGGACAATTTGCTAACATAAATGTTTGCTCTAAAATAATTATTCAAAAAGTATGCAAACAGAAAATATAATTATATAGATACTTGCGCTTAAAGTCAGCACACTTAAAAAAAAATAAATAAATAATAATATTTTTTTTGTGTGAATATTTACAATTAAAAAAAAATATAAATTATGATTATATTTTTTTCATTCCAAAAAAAAAAATGTAATCTTAAAAAAAAAATTAGTTTTTCTGTTTTTCTTTTTTGGAGGATAATGTGCAGACTACTATAGAGTGTATATTTTTATTTTAACCTAAAATGTAATATTATACAAATTACATTTTGGAGTGTTGCTTATATTAAAAAAAAAAATAATTAACTAAGTAATATTCAATGTTTATTAATAAAAATAAAAGTTCTATATTAAATTTAAGTAGAGTTTACACCATATATTCCTTATTAATTTATTTTTTTGATACGAGAAAAGTAATTTAACAACCATTAATAAATCATAGCTATAAATAATTTCTTTTCCTTAGGAATATTATCCTTTCTATAATAATTATAATCATTTTAATACTCCATGAAC